GAACGCTTTTGTCAATGCTTCGGTCCTTGCCAGAAAAATACAAAAGTCGTTGGCGTGATCATCTCCAGAAAGCCGTACATGCATTCAATTGAACCAGAAATGACGCGACAGGATACTCCCCATTCCTCCTACTCTTTGGCAGACCCCCGCGAATTGCGAATTGACCTTATGTACGGCCTGAAACCCCCCACCTGGCCATAGCACTTATCCTGAATATGTCAAGAAATGGCGAGAATCGATGTCCGAAGCATACCAACTTGAATCTGAAAAGGCAGAAAAGAACGCTACGAGTGGGAAAGTGCAATATGACAAGAAAGCTAAGAGTACGAGTCTACAACCCGGTGATCGTGTGTTAATACGAAATGTGAAAGAAAGGGGTGGTCCCGGCAAGTTACGGTCGTATTGGGAAGACAAAGTTTACAAAATTGTGCGTCAGAAATCAAATGAGATTCCCGTGTATGAAGCCATTCCTGAGAGTGGCGGGGAGAAGACAAGAGTACTGCATGTAAGTATCTTCCTGTGGAGAATCCTATTGTGAAACCAGCTCAGTTAAAGAAGAAAAAGAAGAGTGAGAAGGAGAAACAAGTCACACAAGATTATCAGACAGATAGTGAAGACGAGTTCGGGATTGCTACGTTTGCACCTGAATTAACGCGGACAGACCCAGAAGATGAATTCGTGCCAGTGTCGGTTGAAAATGAAGCCCAGCATAGTGTTGAGGAAGCTGTACAAGAAGGTGCCACACCAGAAGAACCAGCTCAAGAGAGTCAAGCTGCGACTGGTACCACGGTAGCAGCGGAGGCTGAGACACAAGTTGATTCACACCCAGTTAGTTCACAACGAGTACGATGACCACCAACCAGACTGGGATATGGATATCTGGGCCAGTAGACTATCTGGGCCAATAGATATCTGGGCCAATACCCGTCGAAGGCTATAGACTGATAGCCGAAAGCTCGTAGAAATAAATATTTAGTCAGAGAACGTCCAATAAATAAATTATGTTTCAACCTGGCTACGCATCCTCTATTTTTTCAGTATTAACGCGTTACATGCACCTGCCACAAACAACATGTATCTACACCAATACCCTGTGCTCCCGACAACCCCAATTCCGTTCTCTCCCCCAATACTTTGTATGTCATTACCTGTATTTCCATTATATTGGTCAAGTTGGCAAGGACCAATTATGCAATCAAACATATGGTTTTAGACACTGATATCAAGAGTCACGAAATCAGAAAACGAAAATTGTTGAAATTGCCATCATGTTGCGAATAATGACTGTTAGAAAACAGAAACAATAAAACTTTACAAGAGTTAAAGTTCCAGGAAAAGTTCCTGACCAACAAAAAGCGAACAGTTGACCAAGAAGTAGCCAAGATGAGTACAGACAATAGCGTTAAATGTTGGGCTATATAAAGATAATGAGGACAGCTTAAATTATGGGTGAGTGTAGGATGCCCATTGGCAATACGTCATGTAACATTAGTTAAATAGGAACTATTGTATCATGCAGTTGTGACAGTAACAAGAAAGGACAGACAAACAGATTTTCAAGATAGCGATTAATCAACCACGTTGTTATTAATGTTCACATTTGTTTTACGAAATAAATTTTGCTTTCTACTGTTTTAATACTTGAATTATGGAATAGATCGAGAATTTAGTGAGCGGGCAACATAAGGTCATTGTCAAAGTAATTTTCAAAAAATACGTTCATTTGTGTAAGTCGAGAAAATAGAAGTTAAAGTTTATGTGAATTATTAAAGGAAATCTCTATCACATATAAAGATAGGACACGCATATGATTTTTCTTTGTGTTTTCTTCGTGAATTATTAATGAGTTTTTGAACTTTTTTAAGTCTTTATTAAGCAAGACCAGCAAAACGTACACATTTGATATATATAGCAAAGCAGGAAAACTTTCTCCGCGGACGGTTCGCTGTTTAAACAAGTTAATTAAAACAAGTAAATTGTCTGAAACATTTTTATGTATATAGCTTTTCAGTAATACGTAATAGCATGGTTTCTCCTGAAATTTGAATAAAACAAGCACTCGTGGGCTTTGATGGTCTTTGAAAAACTTACTCGTGCATGTTTATCCAAATTTTACTCGAAACTATCCTATTAACCTATACTAACACATGCAATCTGCTATAATTAACGCGCGACACATTGACTTCTAAGTAAGTTATTAAGTTATATAGCACTGGGCGAATTAGGTTTTGAATGTCCCATATTTTGTGAGTTCATTTCCGACCCCTGACAGATCATCATATCTTCAAAAAACTGTAAAGAAACAATGTTTTCGACGAAGATTATAACAGTATATGTGTTTTTACAAAACCATATTTTATTAATTTATTTTTAAAGCATGCATGGTGACGCATTTCGATAATTGTAATTTTTGTGAATCATTTCCATAGAAATTGACGAATGTGCCCTAAGCATCGATAACTGTCATACTCAAGCCACATGTATGAATATTCCTGGATCATTTACATGTACTTGTAATATAGGATATTCTGGAAATGGAGTGAGTTGCCAAGGTGAGATTATCCATAGCCAGAAATCATGGACATTGGACATTATTCTACTTTCGTACTAATTTAATATGACTTCGACTGTAACCAACACTAAAATTATAAGATTTGGTTTGTGAAAACACCACGTCTATTTATTGGCAAAGATTTCGATCTATAGGTCTTTGCAACTTGTCGGAATCGGCTTCAACATACGGTTAATTTATAGCCCCGAGCCAACGGCGCGGAGCGCCGATCCGGGCGTTAGCCCGGGGCGAGTGTACTAATTCGGACCGGTTATTTACACCCGGAAAAAGGAACGCATTAGCGAAGTCTAAAGTTCATCAATTATCGCGGGCGCGTGACTATGGTTCATGCGTGGACCTCCTCATTGATCTCAAAAATCTGGCTGTTTGCTAGGGGGAGTGGGATAAGCGGCAAGATTTCAATTTTCAAAAGCATATATTTGGAAAATCACGTTTCACACAATGAGCTTTGAAGCAATTTTTGCATAGTTTGAAGAAATAAGAAGAATTGAGTAATATGGGAATCGTGAAATATAGTGCAAGTTTGCTTTGAATATTTAATGTTTATGAATTTTGTTGCTTTTAATAAATTCTTGCGTATAAAAGTACATGCAGCTTTCCTAAATTACGCTGTTTAATTTAAGAAAAAAGGTAAAATGTAAAGGAGAACAAATTAATTTTAAGACCTAACTGAAATTACTCCACAATTTGAACTTATTAAGTATTAAAAACAGTTCATCGGCAAAGACGACAAAAGCTGTTTAGTTATTAAAATGAACATTTCAAAACATTTTACGAAGCGATTCATTTTGTAAGCTTTGATTTAATGTAAAATTTAAAAATTTTACATTAAATCAAAGCTTACAAAATGCAAAATAACATACCTACAGTACACAATTCGGAAATTCATTCTTATATAGTTAAAAGCAATAATCTTTCAACTATTTTTGGCGTGTTGTTCAAAAAAATATAAAATTTAAGATTGTCGTGTTGCCATGACAACACTGACGTAAACGCGAGCCTGCGTTCAGTGTTGATCAATTACTAACACAGTACTTCATGTAAGTCGATGTTTGGAAAATATAGGCGAGGGGTTGCTGCATGCATGTATTTCTAGTTAATATATATATATATATATATATATATATATATATATATATATATATATATATATATATATATATATATATATATATTTAGTATCAATTTTGCATATCAAATGAGCTTTCGTGCGTTCTGATTGGCTAATTGACTAGTAAATCGGACGCATTATTTATTTATTATTTACTAGTCAGTAAATAATGCTTTTCAAAAGGAATGATTCGGCTTTTCAAAAACAATTATTTGGTCTTCAGAAAACGAAAAAAAGCACAAAATGTTGTATTTAACTTGAAAGGTAGGATTCCTTTATTATTTTACTGTGTCAATCATATTCACGGACAATTTCAAACTTTATTTCAAACTCCGAAATGGCGAAACATTCACTTCAAACAAATACCAATTTTCTCAGCCATTTCCTGAGCAAATTAATGCTAAACAGAAACTATTTTTTTAATTCTAAGTTTGGTAAAAACGTCATCCTATCATAGTGTTTATATTCCAAGCAAAAGTCGAGAAAAACAGCTTTGTAATAAAGCAATAAAGTCACACAGGAAGCCATTTTGAAAGCGTGCGTGTACAAAAACACTGCAACACTAAAACAGTAACCGTAAAACCGGCCGAAAACAGTTTTATTTTTGAATTTTAATTAAACTGATATTTGGATATTTTGTTTTATTCATTAAAAATTTATACTAAAACAATTATTCGCCTCAGGCTCTTTGATTACGGTCAATATTCACCTCGACTTCGTCTATTCACTGGTAATCACTTCGCCTTCTTGAATAATTGTTAATTATTAAATGCCAAGCATTTGTTTTGATGAACCGCGCAATTTGATTGGCTGCTGACGAGGCAGTATTGCCGACAAGAGCCGAGTTTCAAACGGCAACGATATCTAAAAGTCTTTCAAACTATTCAAAACGAAGAAAACTAAACCTAAAATAAAGAAAAGGAGCAACCGCTGTGGTTAAAGAACTTTCTCAATACGTTTTTGTTAGCGAAAGTCGAAATTACAAGGTTAATTTTACAGTGTTTATAGCTATTAAAGCAGACAGGAAATGTGTTTTGACTATGTGAAGAGCTGCAAATTTTATTTGCAGATAGCCAGGAGGTATTTGACACCATCCTAAATAAAAAATACAACTAAAGCAGCCACAGATTTATAATTTTTCCCGGAAAATTTCTGTTTTTGTTAGATAAAAAGAGACATAAATATGACATGAAGCGAACTAAACGTACTCGTCCATATTGACATTATTATTGTTTATTAAATTTTATTGTTTTCATACTTGTTGTCTTTGATTAAATGACGAAATACCTCGTATTTTTCGTGAAATACTATCCAAACTGTGTTAGTATTATATATAAAAAGTGCTGTATAGTAGTTTTACTAACCAAGAGAACATTTTTTTACATTTGGGGGGTTTTTTTTTCAAATGTTGCGGACTTTGTACTTTGCCCTCGCGTGACCTTTTTTCCCATTTTTTACAAACGTACAATGCCATATAATAAAAAAACTTACTGACCTGAACCGTTCGGGCAGTACGGGAAAATATCCAACCTCGGTCTTGCTGTATTGACCTCCCTATCGCTCGGTCAATACTGCAAGACCTCGGTTGGATATTTTCCCGTGCTGCCCTCACTCTCGGTCAGTAATTAAGGTATTAATATTTTATATAAAAGTACATAAATACATGATAAACTATAAACTGCATGCATGCAGGATGGCCAATTCTACCTCAGTTTAGAACATTTGTGAAGCATGTGATTGTGTGATTCTATTTAGTATTATCATTCCATTAATATACAGCTATTTCAAATAAAAGGGTAATGTCCCCGCGTAAAGCGGAAAAGTCGAATACGAGCGCGAAAGGCTGCTGGGAATCGCTAATAAATTCATTATTTTTTTAGCGATTCCCAACAGCCTTTCGCGTTACTTAATTGAAATAGCTGTATACAAGTCACTTACGTCAACCGGTTTTAATAGGCAAACACATCCTATACCGTTGCATTTGCATCCGCAAATTATAATACATCGTTATATTTCTAATCACCTGTCTCGTTTAACTGACTGTCCGTTAAGTTAAAATTCGTCTATTCCCCGCCCTTTACAACAGAAAAGATTTGTTGGGTATTCATCAAGTTTTGTTAAATGTCAAAATTAATATTACTCCAAAGTGCTTTGCTTCAAAAGTTGCATTGTCATTCAGCAGCATATTGATAAGCAGCTAAGCTTTCGAGAGGTTTAATAAATAAACCACGTAACTTCGCGGATGTTAAAGATAACATCGCAATGATAAATTTAAACTCGGAATGTGGAGGTAAACGTGAATATTTTACGGCAGGATACTTTGCCAATTATTGTGCGATAATTGGCCGTCTATACTAATTATTATATAATAGCGTTAAGAATTCAAACGCTTTCATTGGTCGAAAGCCATAATCTATTAGAGCACAGCCGCACGGAATTACGTCACGCAAACCTTTGTTCTGTGCAGCCAATCACAACACAGCACGTGACTTAAGGTAGCCAATAGCATTCCCTTATTTATATAGATCATGTACATGCACGCGTGATATTTGCGAAATTTTGACTTTTTCAAATTTCCAAATGTTTGCGTGGATAAAAAGTAAGCTATTTACCTTTTTAAGTCGGGGGTTTCTTTTATTATGTACAACAAATAACTAATCGCTCATTTAATTAATCGTTCATTCATTGTTAATTTAACAATGAATGAGCGATTAATCAGCTTTCCCGATTATTTGCCGATTAATCTGCCAATCTCTAACCCAATTATTTTTACATCGTGCACTTCCTCGTCGTATTTTATTTTCACAGATATAGATGAATGTGTTTCCAGTAAAGATGTTTGTCATAATTCTCGAGCAAATTGTCTAAATACCCCTGGCTCATTTACTTGTTCTTGTACTACTGGGTACAGTGGAGATGGCGTTACTTGTAACGGTAGGCATTTAAAGTATTTGTAAAGCCGGTTTTCTACTAACGAATTTTTCGCTCGAAGCGACTGTTTCTTTTTGCCACGTTTGTTGACGTGATGCCGATAAAGGAAAGGACTCCCTTCGCGCGAAAAAAAAACGCTAGTGGAAAACCAGCTTAGCGGGAAATATATGGTTGAATCCTGTTTTTCTTAGAAAGAGACATATCTCATAAATTATTTTCTTACATTGAAATATATAGAATCTGAATCTATTTCGATGGACATATAAATTCACTTTGAAATTCAAGAAATTTTTGTACTTCCAGATATAAATGAATGTGAGGTCGGAACTGATAACTGCGGCATTGAAGCGTCATGTGTGAATACCATTGGATCGTTTAACTGTATTTGTAGCTTCGGATATACTGGAGATGGAATGAAATGTACAGGTATATATATTTGACATTTAAGAATAGGACCATCATGAGTTTCAATCACATCATCGCCACATCGAAATCCATAACGTATTGCGTGCATGGTACTAATATACCCAACCAGAGATCATCACCCTCCCCGCGGCCTTCGTCACCCGCTGACGAGGGGAGAATCAGAAAACATACTTTATTAATATTAGCATTTTTAAACGTCCAGAAACCAGCTCCATTGCAGGGTAAGAAATTTAATGGGAAAACCGGCGTTAAAGTATAGCTAGGGCCGTATAGTACCGAGGCTGAGGAAAACCTATATTTTTCCGTGCATGTATCATGGTGGTTAAGAACTGTTGTTTATTTGAAAGTACTGATACAAATTTATATATTTATCTATAGAAGATGATTGCCGCACTCACGGCTGTGAAGAATTTTATGTTTGTCGGATTTTGGATAATCAATACGCATGCGTCTGTCAAAGTAACTACACAAGGACTAACTGCAGTGATGAAATTGCAGGTCGGTATCTTCATATTTCTCAAATCATAGTGCAGTGCTGACTGAAATGCAGAAAATATAACTGTGTAAACTAAAATATATCGCACGCGATCGCAATTAATGAACGTCTGAAAACTTGCGCATTTTCAGAATTATCGCATGTATGAAAATCTCGCACTAGCAAAAAAAAACTTTAAATATATGTCGCCACATCTCCAATTACAATTTTGGAAATGAGGTGCCTGACCCTGTTTGTAAAGCGACAAAATACTGTACATCATATAGTATTTTGGTTGCTGCAACATGATAAAATATTGCGTTATAATTAATAACGTGATAATGTTTGCTGTTTTGCAAACTGTTTTGCATTTCTGAGTGGTACAATATGGAGATTATAGTCTCCAAAA